ATGTATAGGCGAAAATAAAGCGCAGCAAAAACTTGTTAGCCAAGAAAAAGGTAAATTTTGCTGGTTACAAAACTTATAAAATTTATACACTCCTAATTCATGCGATTAGCCAGCCGATAAACTTGTCTGTAAATGTATTTTTTTAACTTTTGTTAATTGTTAACCTGTTTTAATTTATGCGTTGCTGAACTTATTGGTGGGTTTATAGGATGTAAATTCTCGGTGCTTTCTCAGTATCGGGGACTTTACTTAACCAATTCCCCATTATCCCATTTTACTGATGATCCTGATATCTGATTCGAGCCGGAGCCGAAGTTTCCACATGGGATCGTGGAGTCGAAAGCTAGTTTTCGACATTTTCGATATCTTCTAAAAATTTCTTTAATGCCATTCAATAGAGCATCAAAAAATATACTAAGAGTTTTAATTTCATCTCAAAATAGCGTATTATAAAAAGAGTTATAGCAAAAACAAAATTTAAAGATGATTTCCATATTTGAGCGTAGATTCGAAAACTAATTTTCGACATTTTCGATATTTTTACAATATCTTCTTGACGTCATTCAAAAGAGCGGCAAAAATTATACGAACACTTTTCATACAACTCAGAATAACGTATTATAAAATAGTTATGACAAAAAGCAGTAGCTCACCGCACCGCAACCCCCCCCCCCCGCACAGTTTTTTCCCCCGATCGAAATGGAACAGGGCCGTTTTTTTCTTGTTTTTTTTTCATTTTCATTTCATTTTCTTGCACTTTTCATTAGGAAATATCAAAAAAGGCTCGGAAACCGTTTTCATTGTTCCAGAATTGCTAGAAACTCCCGCCTAGGGTCTTCAAAGAAGGTCAATTGGGAAATGCAAAGAGCTTTCGTGTAACTTTAGAAAAAATGGACCTGTCCCAATTTCTGTGATCTTTTCTTCCCTCCCCCGTTTGTTTCCGCATGTTATACAACCTCTGAACCAGTGGCACCACACATTGCCTACTCCCCACTCTTATTCAACTACTGAATAAAGTATATATATATTTATTTATTTATTTAGAAGTCGTAGGTTGCAATTATACCGACAGAAAACTTTGCAGAACTGCCGGATCGAGCAAGCGTTTTGCGGCATGGATAACCTTATCCTTTTCCACCATTTTGAAGAATTTTTCGCCCATGGTCTCTTCTATTTTGCCGCGTTTGGGGCGAACCTTTGTACCTCCTCGTCGTCTACATCAGCAGACGCACCCATTTTATGCATTTTAGAAGCTTGCCCCGTAAGGATGGACGTACACATGACTGTCCGTTGTTTGTACGCAACTGAACACAACACAACAAAGAGGCGTGCCTCCAGGAGTATCCGGCCAATTTGCAGGAGATGATCGTTTGCGCCGGGAAGGAATTCAAGGGGTCGTCCCCGGTAATTGAGCTATTAAATTTAAATTTGAGATGAATTAAATTTGGTAATGCGGATTTAAAAAAACTAAAAAGCCATAGAATCGAGCAATAGGACTGTTTAGGTATCGAACACTACGAGGTAATACAAAAACGGGAGTAGCGTTTCACCTTTTGGTCAGAATATCTCTCCCAGTTTTTCATGCATTTTTCTGGCATCTTTTGAACCTGTCGAGGCATAACAAGTCTCGGATGCGAAAATCGACACTAAAACGTCAATATCTCGAGTTTTAAAGATCAGTAGCAAATTTGGATAACGAGGTGATGATCCGCGTGGCCGATTCTATCTCTGTGCAAATTTTCAACCAATTCTGAGTCCGGGTTTATTCGGGCTCCCCTAGTCAGATAGCACGCAGCCACAACGTCCGCCAAGAACTTAGCGGAAAAATGAGCTACAGTATTTTTTTCGTAATTAAGGATTGTCAGCGAGGGCTACATTCAACGAGCAAAATCTCGTCTAATAGAAATGCCCAGGGGTACCCATTAAAAAGTGGTGTCCTGCTGCTCACTCTTGTTCTACGTGCCATGTCGAAATTACTCGTTGGATGGCCGAGCTTTGATGTTTTACTGGATTGCACTTATGAAAGTCGCTTGTTGCAAACCAGGTACAAAAAGAAGGTTTCACCTCCGAAATGCTCTGTCCGCCGTTTTGCCGAATACCGACCGACCGTACGGAACAAGTACTTTTCTGTGAAATGAAGGATTTTCTGCTTGTTCCGATAGGCAAAATTTATTCCAATACCAGCCGCTTCCAGTGGCTTCGCCGCTGCAAGCGGCTGGACTTCGGGTCCCCTACGCTCACTGGCATCGCCGAAACGCGCGCGATCTGGCTCACTATGTACAAAATCGTGCAACCATCCGTTCCCCCACGCGTTTTACCAAAGCGCCACTTTCAAAGTTAAATTTAATAATTTAAACCAAAGATTTTTCATAATTTTTTATCAGTTAGATCGGATCACGCACTATTCGAATCCGAATCTCCTTTCCCCCTTCGAGTTGAATTCGGCTTCAAACAGACACGGACGGACACCACGGCAAAATTATTATGATGGGCAGGCCCGTAGGAATGGGGGGGGGGGCCCAGGGGGCCCTGGGCCCCCCCCCCCGAAATCGGTCGAGGTCCGAAAAATTCATAAGGGGGGACCCTTATGATTTTTAGTTACAAAAATTTTTTCTGCCTGCGGCGCTGTTTATTACTGTTTTTCAAGCAGTTTTTACTTATAGGAAGCCTATTTTTTCAAAATTTTTTGCCTGCGGCGCTGGTTTTTCATTAGTGGATCAATTGTTGATAAAAATTTTCGCCTGCGGCGCGTTTTCTGCCGTGTTTTCACAAGAATTTGAGTGTAGCAAACGCTTTTTTTGCTTTTTTTGCCTGCGGCGCTATTATTGACGCGATTTTCGGATGTTTTAAAAGTGGCGACCGGGGGGAGGTCGCCAAAATTTTTGGGTCCCCCCCGAAATTTCGGTTCCGCTACGGGCCTGATGATGGGTATCACCACAGCAAATTAATTCGGGGAGCGACTAAAATTTTCCTTTCGGAATTTTTTCCCTGCTGCTGCTCCTGTTTTTTTCTACGAATTATCAAGTCTAGGCATCGACATGGATAAGGGAATGAAGAAGAAATGCTTGTACGCAATCGGGGGCGGCGGATTCATATTGAATTGCTTGCTGTTGCAGCTCATCCTCACCGACAAAGCGGTGCGTTGGCTGCAATTTTTTCTGCGCTTTTGGAAGCAATTCGGGTTGTCTGTTCTAGCGGTGATTAGCGGGAGAGCAATTTTTTAACGGGGGAGCGGGAATCCTTTTTTGAGAAGGCGGTGTAGGGATCAGGTAATTGAATTTCGCAAAATCCCATAGCATTTTACAATGTTTTTATTAAAAAACAAACATAGATACAGAGACAAACACCCTTAGAAAATTTAAAATTTAAAAAACAAAACATAGACCTTTTGCACCAGAACGTTCCAAAAATGACCAAAACCGGTCAGAAACCTGAAATTTATCGTATGTTCTAACAAAGTTTCATAGTGTTTTAGTCATCGGAAACTACAAAAAAAAACATATTTTAATGCATTGTTATGCCGCGTTGCCACAATTAAAAATTTGCCTTGCTCTCCCGGTAAAAATGTGCTCCCCCGCTAACACGAAAGCACCGTTTTATCCTTTAGCGCGGCCATGAAACCTCAATTACCGTGCCTTAATCCAGCAAACATGCGTTTTTTTCAGAGAATCGAAGACGGCTATCGGAAAATTCTGCTCATCACCACCACGTACAACATATATTACTCGCTGATCAGCAGCATCGCCGACTTTGTAGTTTCTAGCTTGGATCCAAATTTCGATTTAGGGATTTGTCATCGACGAGTTCGGCTACATAGTGTTCAGCAAAAATCTCTACGAGCTCGGCTACGTGGCTTCGGAAATAGGGATTTTCGTAGGAATTTGGTCCTTTAGTTTTGGTGGATTGGCCGCTCTGAAAAAAATATTGTCTAGGCCCGAGAAAAATAAATGGAAAGGCCTTTCCGTGCTAACTCCAGGCCATACCGACGTAATCGACAAATTTCTCGAGTTTTTACAATTTTGAGTTAAAGAACTTATGCGATAAATAAAAAAAAAGATATTCTAAATATACTATGGATGGCTATATTCGTTTTAGAAAAAAAAATCAGGAAGATCTAAATAATCGAACATGAACGTTGGCCATTTTTAGCTTAAAGTGCACTTAAAAACGTGATAACCTTCAAATCCGAGCTAGTTTGAAGTTTTTGGAATCAGATTCGGAATCAGAAAAAATTTCTGCAAAAGATGTGCTAGGTCTCGTTTTGAAAGTCCACCGCGACCCTAGCGAGCGGCCTTCTACCCCTGCTTCAGGCCTCGTCAATTTAAATCCGAAAAATCGAAGCAATGTCTAGGGATATAGTGTGGCATTTATGGTGTCGCTGAATCTGCTAGCCGTGCACTGTTTTTATCGATATGTGAAGATTACCGGGTAATTTCTGCAATGCGATAACGAGAGCTTGCCGGCTATATGGTTGGGCTCCCGTAGCGGCAGTATTCTCTAATGGTCGCCGGGCAACAATTGTTTCCCTGTTGCAGCAAATATTCCTTTTTCTTCGAGAAGCGGCGCTACATCGCGGGCATAATTGCGGGGATGATCCTGTTTGCTATTTTGTATCATGTCTGGTGCAGCTATACGCTGGGCGTAAGTCCGCACAGGATTTCTGGTTGTTTGAAAACGGCGCTCGAAAAGGCATTAAAATTTGAGTTTTTTCTTAAAATCGGGCCTTTACTGATGAAAACCGGCTTTGACTTTGTAGACTAAAATTTTATGAAAATTCTGAGGATGCCATAGGAAAAACATCTACGAAGAACACGAAGAACAATCCCCCTATAATTTGATGCAAAAGTATCGGATCGGAACGAAAGTTACACCATGCGAAACTCCTTGAAGTTTGGAACACCTTGAAAACGTTATTTAAATACGCCGGAAGTTGCCGCTAATGACACGGTTCCTTGTTTAATGTTTTGAATTCGTTAGAATGAGATCAATTAAATAAAAAAACTAATAAATACAGCATGGTTATGAAAATCGCTGCAGCTACCGTTACAAGGGCTTGCGGCTGGTATAACTAGGGTTCCGTTCCGATACCTCTGCGTTGAGTTAGCGCGGGTGTTTTCTGTTGCGACGCCCTGTATACGGTGTGGGCCTGTTCAAGCGACATTTCAGCCCACCAGCACCCGAAATAACCTCAGCCGTACGTACCTACGCGCTCACTACGACATTAATATTGACGAGCTGGCGTATATTGGCGGGATGTACAAGGTGAAAATTTAGGGTTCTGGCCTCGGCGCCAGGTTGAGCTCTTTTTTTATTCAATTTTTTTTTTACCAGGGCTCAAGAAAGGCTTTCTTAAACAGCTAGGGAGGTGTAATTTACATAGATTTTCCGGATTAGGAAGATACGAAAAGCTTCGTTTTGCAGACTCGAAACCCCGAAACAGGTGCGGTGCAGCACCTCTACGGTCCGATGATCGGCCCACTCCTTTGCACGACGAGCCAGTTTGCATTGTGTTTTGCCATTGGCTACTTGTGCGTGAAACTGTCGAGTTACGTCGGACGGTCGACCTGCAGCGACAACGCCAAGGTGTTGCACTATCAGCTGCTGCGGCTGCTAACGATTCAGGTCCGCCGTGTTCTCCCAGACGACCTTGAACGTCGTCGCGGTTTCATGGGATTGCCTGCCCTGTATAGAATTTTGCGCGCTGATCCGAACCTGGTTCCCAAATTTACGCAATAGCGGTTTAAACCCGAGCAACCTTACGGATCGGCTATTTTCAAAGGCCCAAAAACTACCGAGAAAACTAACTTAAACGGAATTGAAATGGCTATTCCGCACTTTGTAAATGATGTGGGATCAGCGCAAAATTTTGTACATGTTGGTCTTGGTCCCGTCTCGAAACCCATACTAAATTCTCCTTAAATTTCCTTTCCAGGCGCTGGCACCTCTACTTTTCGAGTACGCCCCGGCATTCACAGCATTATGGGGCAGCTTTATTGTTGGTTTATTCGGTAAGTGGACTTGGGTGTGTGGTGGCTATTTAGTAGGTTGAAACTAAAACGGCCAATGAAGTTAGAAAAGTGTTTGAAAGAGCCGTTTGAAAAGTGCTTGGTCATTTTGGGTCGTAAAAATCTATGGGTTGTTTTCCCCCACCCCTCCCGCGAATACTCAGATATCTTTTTTTTTTACTAAAAAACGGCAGATTACGAGAATCATGATTTCATTGAGAGAAACAATGACTTTATTGATTGGTCCTGAAAACATAAGCCGCGTCTAGGTATCGATATTGGCTTTTTGGCCTTCTACATACCCCTGTTAATCGCTTGCTACCCGACCGTCGACGCACTGATGGTTATATTTGGATTTACGGCGAGTCTGTTGAACCAAAGATACATCCATTCTAAAATACCTTCTTTTTTGTTCTATCAGAGGAAAATATGGCATTAATAGCAAGTTCCCCTTCGATTTCAGGCCTACCGAAAACGAGTCCTTAACCTCTTCGGCTACGAAAAGAAAAGTATCGCGGAGGTTACTCTGGAGGACACTCAAAAAACAAACCCGCAACCTTAACGCCCTTGAACGCTTCCGTATGGCCGGTTCATCGTTGCCATCGAATGTGGTTTATTGCAAAAAGGACAGAAATTAAGTAAATTTTCCAAAATCCAGTGATAAGGTAATGCAAACAAGAAAATGCAAACAAAAATAAAACAGGAAATCAAGAGCTAGAGCGATACATCAAATTGGTGGGGGTGGTATGTATGGCCTTTGCCCAGTACGTGGTGCTACTAAAGACGCCTCTCTCTGCGCGTTCTTGGGGGGCGCACCCCCCCTCCCCGGGTGACAGTGTGCGTTCCAGAGTTCTAGCAGTCTTTATAGTACACAAAAATTCTAGCCAGAGCAAGATTTGTTTTCAAGCAACATTTTGGTATACTTTACACATCTGTAGTCCAACAGCGGGCCGAGATACAAAAGTTGGGCGCGGTCTGCGGGGTGTAAACTACACTCTTACCCTGCAATCTGTATAAATATCATTCATGCTCGATTTGCATGCGAAGCTGCATTGCAAATCATCGGGCTCACCGAGCATGGCATTAAAATTGTACACAAGGGCCGCAGCAGTCGCTTCGCGTCGGCGATGCTTGGATTCTTCTTCCGATTCTGCTCGACGCTGGTAGGCTTTTGCCCACTACATCAGGTTTTTTTTAAATAACATCTTCGACAGAGCCCAATAATCCCATTTAGTGGGGCTGGCTCGGCGGAGATCCGGCTCCGGCTGGGTCAGAAGCTCCGGCTACAGATACCGAAAACGTTCCCCGGGCCAGCTACCTATCCGTCGAGCAGCTGCTACGGCTTCCCGTCGAAGTCCAAATGCAGATCGTTGCTTATATGGGAGCGACGGATATGATTGAAATGGTGTATGCTGACCCGCTTTCAAGGTGATTTTGGCGAACTGTATTCCTCTAAACCGTCTACAGGGTGTCCCCCAAAAAACCGACCCCCTTTCTAGCGACGGAGAAGTGTGTCCGGCTAAACTCCAGATAACCCCCAGCCGACCCCCACCTACCGTATCTCGGCTACCTGTTCATCTACCGGTGTGTAAAGTATACCAAAATACTCGCCACAGCAAGATGAACATTTTGGTATACGTTACACATCTGTAGATGAACAGGGAGCCGAGATACACAAGTTGGGTGCCGGCTGGGGAGTTATCTGGAGTCTTACCGTGTGTCCGGCTTTTAGTGCAATTTACCCCCCAGCCGCCCCCACCTACCGTATCACGGCTCCCCGTTAGGATACCGGGTAGTAAAGTATACCAAAATACTCGCCAGAGCCAGACTCGCCACATTTTGGTATACTTTACACACCTGAGACAAACAGGGGCCGAGAGAGAAAAGCTATGCGCCGGCTGCGGGGGGGGGTAAAGTGCACTCCAACCATGTATCCGATTTTGACGATTTCACTATCTATCGAAAGCTCTCGGAAAGGTGAAAAAAACAAGCACTTTTTGTTTCTCTATATAGGCATTTTAATTCACGAAAATTATGACCAAAATCCATGAAAACTGCAGTTTTTGAGCAAAATCAGCATGTTAATTGCTTGCTAACGCAAACAGGACGACGTTGATTCTACGTTTTTTTAAAGGAATCGTTCAATATCGAGCGCGGGCTAAAAATTGTTGCAAACGGTAGCGCTGATATTCTCGCCTTTTCAAGGGCTTTCGAATGGTGTAAAAATCATGCCGATCCGACCTTTCTCCCGGCCGCTAGAGGGGATTGATTTCTTTTGGGACACCCTGTAGGCGCTAACCAATTTAGGCCTTCATCAGGGCCGTTCCGAAATATTGGGCGGCTGTGCTTTCGGCTGGCGAAATCTCCACCGACCGCGATTGGTACGCTAGCATGGTGTTCTTGAGATGCTTAATTAAGCGACTTCGTTTTTTACAAGACGTTTCCCAGAAGCGACGGGATGGCTGTCGATTTTCCACCTGATCTGGAGTAAGGAAGATTGGTGGCTTGAAGAAATTATTTTTACCGTAGCCCCGTTTTCACCCTGCAACTTTATCCCGACTAGAAAATGTTTTAATAATATTATTAGTAAAAAACCTATATTTGAACGAGCAAAGTCAAAGTCGCAATTTCGGTCAAAATCGGCCTTTTTCGTCTAAAACTCTATATTTTTTCAATTTTTGTTGGAAAATTTTATATGGTTTTCAGGTTTAGCAATCGGAAAAACTATTCAGAAACACATCCACCATTTATATTTGAAAAATTAGATGCTAAGAAAGAAAAAGTTGATTTCGCCCTATCCCCCCCGCAAAATAGCCTTAAAAATGTTGCTCTTTTGGGCCGAAGTGTGCCTCTAAACAAATTTTGCTTTCAGTATAATGGACTCGGATGTCTGGGCGTGTCAAGTGAAGCTCAATACCGACCTGGGCAACCCACGGCGGGGCCAAGATGTTATCAACTACACCGAGCTCGTAGACATTCTCGCCAACAACTCGCGCGTTCGCATGGTAAGCAACTTTAGCGCGAACAGTTCCCGGATTTTCTCCGCAGCTATCCGGCCCGCCGCATTTGTGGGTGAACGGCGAGCCCTGGAAGCCGAATCTCCAAGCCACTATCCTCACCATTTTCAAAGTGGACGAGATCAAAGATGGATGGCCGTATGGCACAGGTCTGCAACGCATTGATTTGTGGTTCTGGACTGTTAGCGGGGGGGAACTTCTGTTTTCCACCTACATGTTGATGATATATAATGTATTTTGATAGCATTCTTACAAGGAGTGCTTTTTTTGAGTCATCTGCAAAACCTTACGAGACCTAGCTCATTCGATAGAGAATTCGATTCTGAACAAAACCCCGTTGTTTCTTTTTTGCAGAATGGCTATCCCTGATTTTATAAAATTAAAATACTAGTCACCGTCCCTTACCATGAGTGTCTTTCGAGCCAAAAGAGCGGCTTTTGGGTGCAGTTTTACAATTTTATAAAATCAGGGATAGCCATTCTGCAAAAAAGAACAACGGGGTTTGGTTCAGAATCGAATTCTCTATCGAATGAGCTAGGTCTCGTAAGGTTTTGCAGATGACTCAAAAAAAGCACTCCTTGTTAGTAGTTTTTAATTACTAGAAAGCGATAAAAACATTTTTTTAATTTTTAAAATTCAAAAATTTGGAACTTTTTTTGGTCATTTTACATGCATTTTTGATCAAAAAGTCGAATTTTCGGACATTTTTATTGGTTTTATATTGTTTTTCTAACTAAAAACTATGTAAAATGCTATAAAAATGGTTTCTATTTTGTTATAGGGCCGTAGGAAAGCACAGTGAAAAATTTGATTCCCCCGGCAACCCCCCTCCCCCCGCTAACAGTCCAGAACCAAGGGGCCCTCAAGTTGGCGCAGTGGAATTTCGAAATTTCGCTCTATGTTCAGATACCTACGGTGCCGTGGCTGTGGATGTTCTTTGGGGCTACCAGTGGGAAGTTGCTTTTTGGGAGAAGTTTGCTAACATGGTGAATGGATTGCCGGTGGGTCCTTGATGGATTTGTATCCACGGGGATTTTCCCTCATTTAGCAGGTCAAACTACTGCGCGCCTCGATACCAGTTACGGTGACGCGACTTCCCCAATTGTCCTTGTTGAAAGTGCCGAGCTTCAAGGTCTACTACGAGCAGCCCATTGGCAAGTTTGAATCTTAGGGTGCAGTTCCGCGAGGCATTGTACAGGGTGGCCCAAAAAATCACCCCCCCCATCTGTCGCCGGCTGCTCACGTGTCCTATTTTTACAATTTAGGTATCTATCGAATGTTCTCGACAAGGGGTGTCCAGCTCGTCTAACTGCTTTTTGAAATTTTGGAATTTTTTGCCTGATTTTTGGGATTTTTCATGCAAAAAAGAAATGCTTGTTTGTCAAAAACTCAATTTAATCGGTTCAAGCGGTATCCACTATACTTCTCCGCCCACCCCGGGTGGGCCGCCCCTAGGGGGGACAGAGGGGGACTGAAAGGGGATGGTGGGGGGATTCTTCCCCCCTCCCCCTCCCCCCCCCCCACCCCACCACCCACCCCGCCCCACCACAGGGCGCCCTGCCAAACACGGCGATTCATCCTTTAAGAAAAACGCGCATGAGAGGGGAAGACGGGGCTAGCCTACGGCACGCTCCAATCGACGCGCAATTGGTTTTGAAGCAAAGGGGGGTCCGTCTTCTGCGCTTTCAAGCCTCTGTAACTTTTTTATACGGCAGTTTCATAATCTGAGTGACCGCTCAAAAAATAGAAGAGACTTTGCTCTATCTTTTATTAGTGGTTTTGTCAAAATCGAGCGTTGGAATCGAGACTTCTGATGGTTTGAAGTTTGAAAAATGAGGTGCAAGTTATCGTTTGAGCTCAAATCCAGCTAAATCCTGGCCCAACCGCCTCAACTACATTTTCTGGAAGAGTATCTGTCATGAACTCACCCAATATTGAGTCAAATTGGGCTTTTAAAAATTTACGTGACGATTCCAATTCAATGTTTTCTGAAGTTTTCAATTAGCTATAACTTTTGTTTATGACGGTTTTCGAATCAGACTAGGAACTAAGAGCAGACCTTCCTCTATCTTTTGCACCTAGTTTTAGGATAGCCCAGCGCAGAAATTTAGCGAATGGGTCCTGTAAGAGGGTGCGATAAGCTTACGATCTTTACTGGCCTATTCCGCATGGAGAGAATGTTCCGCTTGGATTCTTAATTTCTTTATTCGTAGCGAGTCTATTGGCTGCATGCCTCAGGGGGGTAGGGGGCACGGTCATTTGGGAGGGGTCCCAGGGTCCCCCGGGGCCCCACCATCCCCCTTTCAGTCCCCCTCTGTCCCCCCTAGGGGGGGGCCCACCCGGGGTGGGCGGAGAAGTATAGTATCCACGCTGTTTTTTTCGCAAACGGTTTTCAAAAAGACGTCGTTGGGCTGCCAGAAAAAGCTTAGAAATCTTTGCGTTGTGATTTTTGTAAAAAATCTTTGG